GTGTGTGTGTGTGTGTGTGTGTGTGTGTGTGTGTGTGTGTGTGTGTGTGTGCATGAATGGATGGCCACACTTCTCTTAGAAAGATAGACCTTTTCAATTTTTAGCAAGAGTTTTTGCGGCACTTTCAACACAAATAGGTCATAATAGACGTCCTTCAGAGTTGAGATTTTACTAAGGGGCAACATCATACAAAGAAAAAAAAGGAGTAGAGACAAGGATGACAGACATTGGATAGGAAATTATGAGCAACCACACCAGAACACCCTGTAACCGCCTAAATTAGAAAGTCAATGAGACTATATTATTATGAGTGAGGCAACACCGAAGGAAGGGTGCTGAGGGCGTTGAACCCTCTTATAGCGTTACACCCCAATATTCATTCTCTCCGATCTGCCCTTAGTAGGAAAACACAAAGGCGGTCGATTTCTGTCACCTAACCACTGAGCACCGTAAGTTATAGGGATCCATCTATACAATTTCTTCAAGAGCACTGAGACACGGCCTACTCTCTGCACCGACCTGCGGGATCGCTGGCGGCTTACACTCTCTGTCCTCGCCACAAGAGTACTTTCCTTAAATATTATGTCTCATGTGGCATTCAAGTTGAAAACCTAACAATAGTTGTCTTTTTGTGGGTTTTTTCTTTTTGATTTTGTTGGGTTTTTTTTTTTACCTCTTTTCAGGAGACATTTGACGTTGAAGGTCAATATGCCATGATGGTCATGCCATATGGCTCGGACTACAGCTCAGATGAAGGCATAGGCGAAAGGACAATCTTCAGGGATTATGGCACAGGTAAACAGGTGTTTCCTCTTCTTATTTATGGATTAAAAACTTTGAAATAATAATTAATATCTTCTACGTCGATGCTTTGTGGGAAGACCCCAGTCTACTTGGTTGAATGTGTGCCATGATGTTGGCTGGGGGTTTTTTTCAGTGTTGTTCAGAGTTGAGTCCAATATGACCAGGTTCGATATGATTTTCTCAGAACAAACAAAAAGTGTACTTTGCTTTAATGTTGCTGATTCAGTAGGCCTTTGTATAAATAATACTCAACATCTAAATTCTAGGATCGGAAAAAATGGAGCAATATTGGAGATGATAATAATTATGATGATGATAGTGATAATAATAGAAATAAATCTCAGTACCACAGCCACCACTACCACCCCCATCATCATCATCACCATCATCATCATCATCATCATCATCATCATCATCATCATCATCATCATCATCATGATCATCATCATATTGTGCGGACGCGTATGTGTCTTTTTTATCGGTTGTTGGTTTTGGGGGGGGGGTGAATACCATTAAGCTGGAACATAAGGCGTAGAGACGAAGGGAGTTCTTTGCATCGTTGTAGGGTTGCCAGGGGCGAAAAGAGTACAAACATGATGAAAATAGAGTTTAATCAAGCACTTAATTTACATGAAAGGGTGGGGGTTCGCGGGATGTCAAATAGTCCTTGGTGGGATGCAGGATTCATGAAAAAAAAGGAGGGGGGATAGGCAGGAGCAAAGGGCGGGGGGACAG